TGTTACTGTTACTGTGACTGAGGTGGCTCTGAAGTACTGGTGAATGCTGGAATGTTTGGAGCTGGGCAGTTCGATGTATCCGCACCTGATCAGGCTGATGCTCAAAAGTTTGTTCGTGATAGTCATTACGATGCTGGTGAGATGGCATTAACTTGGGTTTCAATGTCAACTTGGAACGACGTCGTGTGGGAATGGATTGTTGACCAGTGCTCACCCAGTGGCAGGGCGCGGAGCCTTCAGAATCAGAAAACGAAAACCAACTGGTCTGGCCTTGGCCGCAATAGTATTATGCCACTAACTTTACTTATAGCATGCACATGTCAGACATTGTACATCTTTAGATAATCCCTAGACGTTGTGGCTCCTACTCTTCTGCAGATCGCCTACAGCTTGCCAATGTACATGTCGATGAGCATGTTCCGGCCGTGTGTTGCTCTAGACACACTCAGATGATGTAGGATAATTGAACAACGCGGGTATTGCTGTACGAGAAGTAGCTGAAGCTGTGAGTTTGTTTCAGCCGGAGGTCTAGCAGCTTAGGAAGACCGGTCTTGAAGTGTGGCTGCAAGCGTAGTGCCGTACACCCGTGGACGATCATCAATCATGTGCGTGTACCTGTACTTCTGCAGTGGTAGATATACTGATAATAGGAGATAGCCATGCTTTTAAGGATGTCATAACGTCATCGCTGAGGCATTAGGGAGCCTACGGCCGTCTGCTAGTTCGCGCCTCTGGCCACCGTGGGAGAGTTGCTACTTTAAACGCCACACACACACACACACAATGGTTACCCTGGCTACACCAGTGCATGCCATGGCCAGGCTCACAATACACATGTTGAGCAGGTTCGAACAACATCACTTACTGTAAAAGCCATATATATAACGAAGTGCTAACTCTAACGAGTTAACGAGGAGAAATCTGTCGTTAAAATAGAAATCGTTATACTGAAGTCGATACATATACGGGCCTAGTGTCCATTGAGCGTTGAGAATGCGTGAGAATCGTTACCTTTCGTACACGTAAACCAGTCAATTTTGGGAAATCGTTAAATATGCGCCTCGTTAGTATAATGGCTTTTACAGTAGTTGATACGGTGTCAATGATTCTGGCGTGGTCAATGTTTTATTATAACATATTTTGGCTTCCAAGTACATACCATGTAAGCCTTGGCCGGTGTCATAATGTCCCCATGCCACCCGCATAGCACTATACTGGTCACTAAACAATACGCTGCCTTCCCGCTGAAACACTAGCACTGAATTGTCCTGCCATGGGACAACACCTATAGTTAGGCCTTTGCGGATAATGCCGGCAGACAAATTGGCAGAATTCGGTACTTTTTCTGGTAAGTTTCACGCATGTTTGGTATGTGGATAAAAAATGGAGCAGAATTCGAGGAATTGCCCACCATAAGGTTTGTATGGTTCTGCCAATTTCACTGCTTTTCGAGCATTCTCCGCCAATGCCTACCTACACGTACACTGTATAGTGAATAGGCCCACACAACACCGAGTAAAGCCCCAGTCTTCTGATGATTGACTTTCAGCATGAAACTCATGAGTAGAGACCTTTAACCACTTTCTGTCCCACCGGATTTTCCTTTGTGACGTGTACAGTGAAACCTGTAAAGGCGACCACTCGGATAAGGCGACTACCTGTCCCAGAAGACCACTGCAACCAGGACCAAGGGATGCTACATGTATTTCCAGTCAAATGACCCTGGATAAGGAGATCAACTGGTAACAGAGACTGGGTTTTGAAGGTCCCTTGAGCGGGCGTCTTAGACAAATTACACTGTACAGTATTCTCGGCGTCTTAGCGATGAGTTGAGTTTCCTTGTCAATCATTAAATTTATTTTCAGGCACAGGATATAGTGCCAATGGACGAGGAGGGACTCGTACCACACTGTAGTCTGATCATCTCATACCATCAGCGTGTACTTCGAAGTACAATAGAGTGGTTTCACATCCATCACATGACCATACAGGGCAGCCATGTTGGTTCCAACCTCCAGTTAACCCCTGCATCTATGGGTCACGTGATGTCGGCCATGTTGATTCCAACTCCAGTCAACCCTTGCATCTACATGTACATGTACATGGGCCACATGATGTCGACTATGTTGGTTCAGCTATCCACATGCCATGTTCACGTTCTACATACATTTTGTCACATAACAAGGATGTATACACCACACGCTGCACGTGTCTTCTGTGCAGACAACATTCAGACAGTGCATTATTTGATCGTCTGTATATAAACCATGTCATAGGAGCGAAATGTTCATTATTTGATGTCGCAGCACCACAGCCTAGGGTCCGGCGGATTCTGCCGGCAGAAAATTGGCCGAATGCGGTACTTTTTCTGGTAAGTTTCATGCATGTTTGGTATGTGGATAAAAAAATGGAGCAGAATTCGAGGAATTGCCCGCCGTAAGGTTTGTATGGTCCTACCAATTTCACTGCTTTTCGAGCAGAATCTGCCACCTTTTCGAGCAGAATCCGCAGGTCCCTACCACAGCCTATTGATTTTGTCCAGACTGCTCAGGGTGCACCAGGCAAGAAAATAGAATTGTATTTTAAAACTAATGAATATGTGAAACTTTATGATCACATTAAACTTTAACTTGTGGTGGCAGATGACAATGAACAGATCAGCAAAGCTGTGGAACAGATCGCTACCGATGATCAGCGACATCTATGGAAAACATGCATGCCTAGTACCCCTGCACAACCTTCAGAAGCTAGCCGTTTCGACCTTGTTACAGTCCATTCATAAAAAGAGGAGCGCTGGCTCTGGCGAGCTCCTGTATTTGGCGACTTTCGTGGTTTTATCCTACACATTGCGGTGCCCCGAATTTTGAGGTTAGAAAAGGGTCCGCATCAGGTACCTCAACTGGGATTTGAACCGGACAATGCAGTATTGCAAGTGGAGTGATACGGATAGGATTTGCATGGCCTTTCCCAATTCAGTGCTTACAAGACAAAACCTGGCCGAAATCCTATTCTTATTCTGGCTTGCTTTTCGGAGAAATGGACTTCAGAAACATAATTGGAAGAGCATTCCACGGGGGATTGCAGAAAATTGTGAAAAACTCAAAATTTGACCCATTTATGGCCAAAAGCTCAGGACAGGATATCATCTTTTTCTGATTGGACTGTAGGTCTCATTAGCGGAGCTCCGAATGACTGCCCAGACTCCAAACCAATCGAACGAAGTCCAGTGAGGAACAAAGCACTATTACATCGGCACAAAGCATCAACGACAGAGTACAGTAAAACCTGGTGTAAGCGACCCTTGCTTATAGCGACCACCTGTTCTTAACAACCGTTTTCCATGCACGGACAGTTCTACGCAGACACTGTGAGAATTGGTTCTAAGGACCACCTGGCTTTAACGACCGTTTTTGCTTTCATCGAGGGGTGGTCGCTTACACCAGGTTTTTACTGAACTCTAACAGGGTACTGTGTACTCATTGAGAGAATGTCTGGCTACTTGCACTAGCAGATGTATTGCTTTACCAGGGAACTCCTGACAGGCCTCACCAGAAAAATTGGCAGAATTCGGTACTTTTTCTGGTGAGTTTCATGCATGTTTGGTATGTGGATAAAGAAATGGAGCGGAATTCGAAGAATTGCCAGCCATAAGGTTTGTATGGTTCTGCAAATTTTACTGCTTTTCGAGCAGAATCTACCACCTTTTCGAGCAGAATCCGCCGGTCCCTAACCCGAAGACTATAACGAAAGTTGGCTCGAGGTAATGCTGTTGTAAACAAGTATCCACTCATAAGTGTAGTCATTGTGTTTCAGGTTTAACGCCGGCAAGGGACCGGCAGATTCTGCTCGAAAAGCAGTGAAATTGGCAGAACCATACAAACCTTATGGCGGGCAATTCCTCGAATTCTGCTCCATTTCTTTATCCACACACCAAACATGCGTGAAACTTACCAGAAAAAGTACCGAATTCTGCCATTTTTCTGCCGGCATTATCCGCAAAGGCCTAACGCCGGCCATCATCAATTTCTCATCAGCACATTTTTTTTCATTTTTCTTGCTAGAAGACAAAAGTAGTCAGCAAGTCAAGATTTTCAACTTGGATAAAGTAGATCCTAGAGGGTGGTCGCGTTCCCACGGCGGATGCGGAAAACTCGGCTTCCAGCCGAGTCTCACGCGAACGCGGTGCTTTGAACTCGGATGGTGGGCCAATGTAGTCGTGGATAAAAAAAAAGGAGAAGGACAGAATAGTACGAGTTATGGCAAACTGTCCACCAACAATACCAGATCATAACTATTCAGTCAGCGAGTGCGACAAGAAGGCAAAAACTGACAACTAGGGACAGGCGGATTCTGCTCGAAAAGGTGGCAGGTTCTGCTCGAAAAGCAGTAAAATTGGCAGAACCATACAAACCTTATGGCGGGCAATTCCTCGAATTCTGCTCCATTTCTTTATCCACATACCAAACATGCATGAAACTTACCAGAAAAAGTACCGAATTCTGCCAATTTGTCCGCCGGCAGAATCCGCTGGACCCTACTGACAACTGATAAAACCTCGTAGAAGTGTTGGAGCTAGGTGGTCAGGTCGTTGAATGTCTCAGTGCTCGCTGTCAGTTTTATGCCTTCTTGTCGCACTCGTTGACTGTACATGTACATGTATATGACCTGGTTCTGTTGGTGGACAGTTAGTCATAACTCGTACCATTTACTTTTAGTTCTTCTCCTTTTTATCCAGAATATGGGCCTTTTCTTGTGTGTTTTATGCATGTTTGGTATGTGGATAAAGAAACGGAGAAAAAAATCAAATTAGTGTCTGCCTGAACTGAGTTTTGTATTGTTCTGCCAATAATTTCATTGCTTTTAGAGCACTGAGGATCTGCCAATGTGTCAAGCAGTATCAGCCAAGGCCCATCACCCCCTCTCCCCCCTTCTCACACAACACGTTTCCTCTCTATATTTGCCAATTCTGGACCTGCACCACTTAGACAGGAAACTCGAGGTGGCTTTTAGCATTTCTGTTGTTGGGTCAACAATAAAAGAAAGAAGGTATTTTAGGTGAAGGATGTCAAGTGTTTGAAGATTGTACTCAAACTAATTACGTCAAAGAAATGTGAACAGCAGTCTAATGCTAACGGTTGGAAGGTGATACATGTACATACAATGTTTGCTTCGGAAAAGAGATCAAGTCGTTCAATGAGTCGTTGTACGTTGTGTGGATGTATGAGTGTGTACGTGTGTGTGTGTGCGTGTGGTGTGTGTGTGCGCTTGCATGTGTATATGTGTGTGTATATTATGTGTGTGTGTATGTATGTATGTGTGTGTATATGTGTGTGTGTGTGTGTATGTGTGTATGTGTGTGTGTATATGTGTGTGTGTGTCTGTCTGGAGATTATGACTATTATCTAAGTCATTATAGTCACTACGGGTTCCTGGATTGCTTGCTAAGAGAATCATTATTATGTTGAAAAGGTGTGCGATTCTGGATAAGGGCAGCAATGTGAAGATAGATGGATATGCATTGCGATGCATTTGCGTGCAGTTCGTTTCATCATCGCAATTTTTCAGTGAGAAGTTTATGTGCTTGAAGTTTCAAAAGGGGATGAAATAATTGAGATTACTGTCAGATAACAACACTTTATCACGCAGCAATGTAATCATTATCAAAGTAAATGGCTGCTCTCAGGACCAGAGCAGAGCAATCATGAGAACAATAAAGATAATGTCTAAGGAGTGAAGATCTATTTGCTGCTGTCGCCACTGTTCTACCAGGGTCATGGGGCTATGTTGACTATGTGGCAATCATGATTGCATCGGTCGTGGGATGGGATAAGTGATGTGCCAGAATTGGTTGCGTGTGATTATGTGATTCAACAGCCGACTGGTCTCGAGGCTCTGCGTACATTTAACGTACAGTTCCTGAATGCACCAGCGCCACTCATAGTGCAGCCTTGTACCATCTCAATACAAGTCGTCTAGTTGCCACGAGCTGAGGACCGAGGAGTTCGTAAACCTAACGTATATGTTTCTCTAGGTGTCTCAAGAAGGATCAAGCGCAGCATACACATTCGACGCAGTCATAACTACGTACACCACCAAAGCAGAGAGTGGGGACGGGAGAGACAGAGAGATAGAAAGGGAGAGATAGAGATAGATAAATAGAGAGAGAGATCATGCAACAAGGAGAGAAATGGATGGAGAGATTGAGAGAGAGAGAGTGCGTTTCCACTAGACCAGCAGTTTCACCGATTGCCATGCTCAGCAGCAAGGCAGGCAGCAGCCGCGTGTCCTCGTGATTCACTCTGGCCGCTTGTCGCACGGCCGACACTTGCACTTGGTGGCGCGCGGCACGCGCATGACGACCGGCTCTCGTCCGGGACAGTTCAGCGTGACGTTGGCCGACTCCATTGTCTTGGGAATACAGCACTTACAGTGTTCCACCATTTGACCGTTCTGAACACACAAACACAAGCGAACACAAACACAGTAGATGAGAGGCACACTTTGCCTTTCAAATAATGTACAAGCAGAAATATTCCTCTTGGATTTAATTTCGTCTTTTTCGTCCAAGGAGCTTTTGGACTAAATTAAATGCCGGGCTAATATCGATTTGTCCAGCTTTTCAATACACTCTTATGATCCAAGGACGAAATTTACAACCAGGCGAACTCCCTTTCTTTGGAGTTAGACGACATTATTGACCGATGAAGTTTTCTGCTTATACAGTATTCGGCAAAGAGACAACAATTCTAATGTGGTAACAAGGAGGACTCGCTGACGTGACATTGAGTTATGTCAAGCGATGTCAAGGGATGGAAACGATGCGAAAACAATATATAACGTTTTTTTGGAAGGACGAAACAGTTCTGTCCGCAGATTGAGTAAAACCTTTTTGATAAACTTCTGTGTCCCAACACCTTGTGATAATTATGATGAATAGAGGAGTGTCGTGGTGGTGAGGATATGGTCAGTTCGCAACAGAGAAGGTCCCTAGTTCAACTCCTGGTGGTCTCCGTCAATTTTGTTTCAGACTTGCTCCTAACCTGTTTCCAGTGCAATTGTTCATGCTAAGGAATCACCGGACTTCATCAACAGCATAGACGTGTTCAGTGTGTTCAGTGTGTGACATGACTGTTCGACAACAGTGCACACCCACCGCATAGCGATGACACAAGAATGCCGAGGTGGCCCACATTGCCTGGAAGTAAATGCGCCACGAATCCAAAGGTTTTGACCTTTCTGGGCAGACCGGTCCCACACGGATTGTACTGCACAACGGGAGGAATGTGGTGAAGGATGGCCATGCTATAATTGTTATAAAATCAAAGAATCTGAGAACCCTTCCCTTCCCTCCCCCCCCCCCCAGCCTTGGTCCTTTGCAGCCCGCTGGGATTGTATTGCTAAAAAGCAGGAAGGCGGTGAAGGACGGCTATGCTTTTCAAAATGTATTACTAGAATCCATGAACCTGACAGCCCCAAGCCCCTGGGCCTGGAATTTGCCCTTAGTGTCTTTTGTGCAGTACTTGTGGTTCATAGCACTCATATTATTTCTCTTTTGCTACACCGATTCCTGCCATCTGGCGTGAACATCTATTTCTATTCCTTACCCCGGTCAAGTCTGGTTCAGAGTGAGAGGTGCACAGCCCCTTGCACGTATCCGTTGGCTGAATTCTGCTCTCGCAGCCTTCGTGCTTCAGCTCAAGATTGTACGGAGCAGGCTGCAGCACAAGAAGACATCAGAGAGATAGAGATAGATAGATATAGATAGACACTCAAATCTGTGGACAGCAACTGTTTCACTCTGTTAGAGCTCCTCAGCACAGCTCAGAGGACCGAAGCGCAGCTCTTCGCAATGAAATACGTTTCCGCGAAGAAAAGATATAGATGGATAGATAGATAGATAGAGAGAGATAGAGATAGATAGAGAGATAGAGATAGATAGAGAGAGAGATAGATAGAGAGATAGATAGAGAGAGAGAGGTGGGCAGTAAAGTATATGGATTACCATAGGAAATTTATCCACAGGTCACATGATGAGGATAAAGTCAACCTTTCCCCGCAAGTATCAAGTCAGTCGGCAGGAAGCGCAGGCTTCAGCGCTGGGAGCAGCCACTTCCCTTCCATATAACTGCCAAAGTCATATTTTGTTGTTCAGCTTCTTCTGCAAGTTCTAGGAAAGAGGAAGCGGCTATCATGACAAGTCAGAAATCGACGTACCTGGCAAATATGTGCAGCGGATGGTGCCATCCCTTGAGCGTCTTCCATCAACAGCAATGCGATAACGCTGAGGAGCGCTGTGGTGCATGCTGCACGAATTCGTGTATCTCTCCACAAAGCCATGGCCATTTTGTGATAATGTTGGTTTGTTAGGGTGATGATTCTGCACAGATAATTCGAACACACGGCAGAGAGTTTAAGTACAATGTTGAGGCTGCCGTTAAAAGCAAAAGCTGGAAACACTAAAACTGCCTGGCACAATGAAGCTGCATGGGTATCATGTATTCATTTAGCCCGTACTACGAGACGCTTGCTTAGCATGGACACCGCCCGAGCCATAATATTATGACTTTCCCATTCGTTGGGCCTGGTCAACCTGTAAGTGTAACTGAATATAAAAAAAAGTTCAAGAGAAAGGACCAATATGGCAATAAGTTACGAAGAGTTATGACTTACAGTCCACCAAGGTTACAAGATCTCATACTGTCAGATAGTGCGACGACAAGGCACAGAACTGACAAGGATATTGAGACATTCGACCACCTGACACCTAGCTCGAACCCATCGATGAAGCACAAGCCAAATGTACTCTTAGTCAGAACTCGTAACTTGTTGCCCCTTTCTCTTTAGTAACTTATAATATTGGCTCACCACCCATTTAAAAAACTTTCAATTACTGAACCAGGGAAAACCCTTCACACACCTTATTACTCAAGAATCCATAATAGAAGTAGATATTGCAATAATCCTTGTCTAACGAAAAGAAACATGAACGATCGCTGCTGGGATAAATACTACACCGTAGCCTAGCGGTAGAGCATCGCTGGTCACAAGTGAGGGTCCCTGGTTCGAACCCTGGTGGTGACAGTCAATTCTGTTTTCTTCAAAATATTTCCCATTTTTCAACTCCCTCGATCTTTTGAGCAGTAAATATCAGTGAATACCAGTATTATCAATTTCATCCTTTCCAACCGAAGGTGTAGGTTATCTGAACGACGTCGTGCAAGAAATTCGCCACCCTCACGGTCCGGCTAATGGCCAACAAACAACAAAATAATTAGCATTGTCGGGAATGCCAGATGCAGTACCTTTGAAAGCCGTTCCTCCTCAGCTTGATTTCCCCCTTATCTGTGTACGTAGCCAGGCAGCCAGCTCTGCTCGTCATCAAACTCTCTGCCAATTGTTTGAGTCCTTTGAAATTACGATTCGTTGGCGCAGCATATTATATCTGCGATTTGTCACTAGCTAGCCAAGTGAGTAATTCAGGTCATCGCGCCGAGGTTTTTCTATTCTTCGTGCCGAGTGGGTAGAGCCATGCAGGCCGCAGTAGGGATGATCGTTGCACATGATTGTAGTCTACATCAGGTGATTGTGTTTGTCAAAGCGTGGATTTCTCACCAGGTTTCCGCTGACGTCGACGCGCACCGCTCAATCAGTGCGAGAGGGCTTTCGAATCATTTCAATTCTTTCAGTTCGGTGATTTACTGCGCGCTAGACGCATGTGGATGTGCAAGTCTGCTGGACTCTGTCGATGGATACTACTATTATGACGGGGAGATCGGCACATCTGACTGAGACGATGATTCGTACATTACACGAACATCACGCACCCATTGGGTGCACAATGGTACATCGTACAACCACCCCGTTTGTTTCGTACACCCGTCAGCGCCTTTTCAGCCCCTCTTGGCATTATTGTAGTAAGTTTGGCAGCCTTTGCCTGGCACACTGTCCTTCCGCTGGTTCTACTTCAACCTGTGCAGGCCAAACACGATGCCAAGGACAGCTTTCCTATGAGCTTACAACGGAGCAACACCGCTATCCTGGTGCACGAGGTGTCAGGTATTTATTTACAGAGGAGGGTGCTCTTCAAATGGAAGGGCCCGAAAGCCACCGCCCACTGCTACGCTTCACGCGGAGATCTTTCCTGGCGGCCGATGGTCTGTCCTAGCATGTACTTGACCTATTGTCAGAACTTGATGGACAGCCGCATCGGCCCTTGCCCCGTTTTTCCTCCCCGACCCGCGTCCGCAACACAACCCTAGTGCAACATGACGTGACAGGAGTCTGAGGACGTACAGGCAGCAGTTAGCCGATGACTTCGTCTCAGTTCTGACCGAATACTCATTTCCCAGGACAGAAACTCTACTAAGAGCGATGGGCCAATGTCGATCGTCAGTTCGGTTAACCGACCGGGGCAATGCGGCCATCGCTTTGTTGCCACCTTGCGCCAGAGAAACATGCTCAGTGCGAGCAAATTGGAGCTGCTCGAAAACATGACGTGCCCGAACAGCCATTGTCAGCATTATCAATGATCGGTCTCCCTCCATTTGCCTAAATTGGTGCTGCTATCTGGGGCAAAAGCGAAATGGGTGTTTCTTGTACGCACTCGAATCTGACCTGGGTCAGGGGAGTGTTCCCGAAGAACTTGGACGCCCTACCTCCACAGCTCTATCGTACTATTGCCGGTTCGATCTTATTAGCTGTGATATGTTTTTTGGCACAAGAGAACCACGGAACACGCAGGAGCGTGCAGCGGTTAGCCGTCATACGCAGGTGAAAGGCGCACGAGTTCTCCGCAGCGATTCTCAAAGCCAAGTGTGGTCACGAGAACAAGCAATCATCCAGTTCTCGGAGTTCCATCAACCATGGCGCACACACCACCAACGCCTTGAAAGGAAATTTCTAGAACGTTCATGCGCTTTCGCAAGTCTTTTGTAACTTACTTACTGAACAAATCAGGCGTGATTCCTCTTTCCGCTGGGGGTGTGAGTTCACAGCGCGTTCTGTGTTGGAGCACGTCTCGTACGAAGGCGCAGACAAGGTGACAAACTCTGCGGCGGGCTTGCAGCAAGATGTCTGCTCGGGCAACACACTGCAGCGTTCGAGGCTGAACTAGCAAACAGTTATTATTATTTCCACACAGTGAGCTGTTCTCCGAGTATTCGTCGCCCACTGACTGAAATTATTTCCACTCGAAGCTTGATCTGATGAAGTACTCAGTTCTGTAACGCAGCAGCTTTGCGGAGTGGCTTTATACTCCGTCGCTACATACACTACACGTACAGCCGCTTTGAGAAAGGTTAGAATGAATGTGTTTGTCTGCGCGCCGTCCGTATGCTCAGCCGACGGGAACCAAGTGTGTACCAGGAGGTGGAAGGACGCACATACGCCACTGACGCTACTGAAAGTCCAGCGCAGCTCTCGCCACTAGTCAGTCGATTGTTTCGACACTTGTTGGTTGCTCAACAGGATCCTGAAGCGAGTGAGTCCGAAAAAAACTAAAGAGGGCCCTGCAAGTGTGGAGTGCGTCAATTGTGGGCCGGCAAGTGTTGCAACAACTCGCTCTAGTCCGCCACAAGTGCGCTGCTGCTGCCGCGCTGGCCTTTGACGGCTTTGTGGACGAAGTAGGTAGGCATTTATCATAAAAATATCTCGCATTCATCCTTGAATAGGGCAAACTATGCATGCACGGGAATGGGTTGTCATAGGCACGCGTGCTCCCCACATGTATTAAAGTCAGCTTCTGCGTTTCAGCTCCACCGTTCTTTTGTGTGGGGCTGAGTCTCGTGAAAAACTCTTCCTAGCTGCCTAGCTAGACATAATCACAAACGAATGCATGGTGCACAGCATGCATACATGCGTCCATAGCTTGGAACTCTCTCGCTGTTGCACAGCACATGTACATAAGTGGACACAATTGCCAAGTCAAGTGTAACACCCTGCAGCGCCTAGAACAGGAACAGCACTGAAGCAGCAGCAGCAACAGCAGTAACAGCAACAGTAGCAACAGCAGCAGGGGATGGCTCGTTCAAACAAGGTAGACCTACTCTGTAATGATTGTAAGATCGTTATGCTTGTGTTGTTTGTCTGGTTCCCAGTCTATTCGCGACCGCCAACGCACGCACCAGGAACACTTGCACTTCAACATTTCAAGTGTGCATTGTGTGCAGCGGGCACTGGTTCGTGTACGCAGCGTTGCTCAAGACTGAGTGTTCCGGTCTGCACAATCCGGGTCACATGCAAACTCTTGTATCTGCGTTTCTGCCGGCAGCACCAAGAGGTCAAGATCGCCACAGTCGCTCAAAGACTATATTCATGATCACAATTTACAGCGTAAGTAGAGTACGATGCTATGCACAGTGCGATGATGTTCGTGTACGTATCATGACTGTGTTTATCATAACACAGAGGGCAGAGAAGACGCGCCAAGTCAGGCCAATGAACAGCGTATGTTGTTTTGTGTTAGGAAGGTCACGAGTGACCTCATCGCCTCCACTGCATCAAAGTCTGCACTGTCAGCAGTCCAGAAACTCCCCACAATCTTGACCATACAAACACCATGCATACATGATCGCACCATTGCGTAATGGTCACGCATGTGTACCAACACGCACCCATTCAGCCACTGACGAGTCATGTACACGTATATGTACATGTATGTACCAGTCAAACATACTTGTACGCTGCATGGAGGAGTAGGGAAAACTGGGAGAGACCATGTCATCTGAAATACTAATATGCGTGTGGAGCTACACAGCTTCATTAGGTCAACCATAATTGAATGACAATGCAGACAGGAAAGTTGAGGAAGCATGTGGGTTTAAATCGTTGCTGGAATGCTGGCATGGGGGAACTGGGAACAAGTCAGTGAATTGTGCAACTGTCCATGACTGTACAGATAGTGGATGAGGGACTGATCAATCTGTATGCAAAACAGCAGTGTGTGAGGCACACTGCGACTGTCCCCGTGCGCACATGGATCCGTGGGGGCTGCCCCATGTAGTGTTGATATAATTTTACCTTCAGTGGTGCATAACGATATCACCACACGCACGAGCCTTATACATGTATGTACAGTGATGCCTGGGTAAGACGACTACACAAGGGACCTTCTAAACGTGGCCTGTGGTAACTGGTGGCCGCCTTATCCAGGGTCATTTGACTGGATATAGCATCCCTTGGTCGCAGTGGTCATTTGGGACAGGTGGTCGCCTTATCCGAGTGGTCTCCTTGACAGGTTTTACTGTATAGATACACGACCCTGTAGAGTCTGTAGAGGCAGTACTGACTGTGCTCTGGATTGCTGCTGTCTCTAAACTCCGTTGTCAGTTGGCGCTGGTATCATGCTTGTGCAGTGAAACCCTTCTAAGGCGACCGGCC